GGGGGGGGGGCTCAAAGAAAGAAGAAAAAATATAATTTAATAAATGATCACTTTGTTTTACATCATAATCTACCATTCAAATTTTTTTACATAATTTTATTATACTCAAGTTACAATTACAATTAAGGACTATAAATCTTCAAACTACCAGTACTTTTAATGCATATAATTCATAAGAAAAATAATTTTTTAAAAAAAGTGAGTGAACCACCCATCAAAATTTTTATATCAGATGCTAGTTTGCACTTTCAACTATCTTTGCCTAAAATATTTTTGAAATTGAAGGGGGCGAGTTGCCAGAAATCAGCTCCTGAAGTTACTCAACTCCGTTGATCAAAAAACTGCAAAACAGACCCATTTACTAAATAAGTAAGATAATTATTTGCAAACAAATGTGTTTAAATGACAGATTATTTTATTCTGAACAAAATATAACAAAAATTATTGCTCTATGACAAATATAAGGTGAGTTACAATCATTAATAGCCTTTGATGTCTGAATCAAAATGGCAGCAAATGTGCCATTTTGGCAAAAATATAAATGCTTATAACTTTTAAACTCCTTAACTGATTTAAATATAGTAATTGATATTTTTGAAATCAGCATAAAAAATTCTATAAGTGTACAAATTTTCATCAAAATCTGAGACGGTGGGTGCCATTTTTGTAAAATCCTGTATGATTTGACGCGGAACGACCCTAAAAGGTTTTAAAATATTTGCGAATTTGCTTTAATAGCAAAGTAGTTAAACCTTTAAGTTTATATAAAAGCTTCAGTAACTTTCAGTATTCCTTTTTTTGTAAAATTCCTATTGAAATATCAAGAGTTTTCTGACATCAATTGAAGATACCTCATTGAATGATTGAGTGAATGATGTTACGTTTAAGTATAATAAGCTTTCTATAACTATTCCTCCCCTTTCCCACACCCATCAATTTCTATAATCCACATCTGCAGTGAGTTTTGCTTACAGGAAGAAAACTCATTATTTGAATCATGTACAAAACATCTTTTTAAAACATTTTAAGAATTCAGATTGATTACTAAACAACAAATATTAGATATTGCAAAAGACTGATAATGATTTGATTAAAGAATGGTCTTCGCCTGTTTTGATGTTGGAATGATTCTGGACTGGCAGATTTGATTTCGAAAAGCAGCAGATTTTGCATTCCAGTGATTTTATGAGAGGGGGTCACTGTATTGAAAATTCAAATTATTAAAAATCACATATTATATTATCAACAGTAGAACAAAGAGAAAAAAAATTTACCTACCTTTTTATGAGGTATACCATTTTTTCAAAATTAAAATAAACACTTTGCATAAAAAACTTTTATAAATATTTAACAAGATTCTATTATTGTTTGCTCGAAAGAAGAACATAATATTTTATCAGTTAAGTTGGAAATAGATTTAAATGTGTTCTTTGATACATTTTGATTGATAGTGAGCATATTTAACTTTTGCTTGTTAGCCACTTTGAACAGATGATCAACAGAAAATCTCAGTTTATACAAATGCATAAAAAGTAAAAAACAAATTTTAAATGATTTCTTATTTCTTTAGAAGGTGAACTAGGTAATTGAGTGGGAGACATCAGACATTTTAAAATCACCAAGGCTCTATTTTTTAAGCCTTTATAAGACTGTTGGAAGTATATTTACAATCAATTTCATGGGAAGATAACTTCAACAGAAAGTTATATTCCCACCTTTAAATTATGTAGTAATTTGCTGATGACTTAAAAGAAATTTAAAAGGGGAAGGGAAAAAAAAAGGACATTTTTTTTTTATAGGTGTATGTCACAGTAAGGGTTTGGCTGTGATCAAGAAGATAGGCCAATACTATAAAGCTTTTTTGCTTTCTGCATCATGCATTTGTTCATTCCATCACCTCTCATTGAGTTTACTTGTAGTTAGTTATAAACACAGAATTTAAAAATTTAGTTAAGCTAAAAAAAATTTTACGTAATATATTTAACTCCCCGTAAAGGGTTAAATAATGCACCTAGATTTAAAGTAGTAGTTTTTGAGTATGCCACAGAAAATACTGTTTAAGATTTCTGATTCATGAATTAAATATTCAAATAGATTAACAACTTAATTATTTCTTAGACTAATATAAATAAGATCAATTTCACATTAAATTAAAAAGACAAAATACAAAAATATTAAAATTAGCAAAGAATATTTTGCTTTTGAATACTAATTACTCATTTCATTATAACTAGGACCGGGTGATAAATCGATAAATCGCGAAACATAGATTTAACACATATATCGGCAGGCCAATATCATGACTTTTGTTTCAAGCGATGCATCAGAAAACTGATTTAAGCTGCCAATATAAGAAGACGCAGGCGATTTAACGATATAATATAAGTAATTTATACTTTGTTATAAAAAGTTAGTTTTTTTTCTTAAATTACTTAATGCACATAATTATAATAATTTGATAGAATTTTATTTTTAAACCAATAAATTTGCAGTCGTTTTTAATTATAAAAAAATTAAAACAAAGCCAGCATTTATCTTATTTGTTTTTATTTTTGTGAAAATTAAAACAAAGTTTGTGCTATTCATTTTTTTTAAAAATAAAAAAAAAATTTGGCTATTTGTTAAAATGACTAAATTTTTTTAATTAAATAAAAAGTTAAATAACGTTTTGTCGCTTTTTTAATAATTTAACAATATTGCTATTAAATTTAGTATATATATTTTTTTTAATTTTTCTTAAAACTCCTTTAATATGTATTCATTTAATAATTTGCTAGGTATCAGGATTATATTTAAACCAATAAATCTCAAAAAAATAATAATAAAAAGAAATAAAACAAGACTTACATTTATAACTACAGAATTTGATTTTTAGCCAATACAATAACTACAAAGATCGAAAAATGTTTTGAAAGCACATCTTTTTCAACAAATAATTTTTAAAATGTTTTACTTAAGTGGACATTTCTTTAGTTTCATTTCTATATTCGTTTTTTTTTATCTTTTTAAACGTAAGTAAAATATTTTGTTAAAGTTTTATTATTATTTTTAAACTAACAAAACCTAATACGCATTTAATTTTAAAAAACAAATTAAAATAAAACCTGCATTTGCTTTTACTTTAAGACATCGGTTTTAAGTTAATCCACCTTTTATGTCAATTGATTTAAAGATTTCTGATTGATAATTTTCAAACATATATTATATTGCGATGTCTAACAGACAATATATCTAGACAACATTGCCCAGTCCTAATTATAATAAATTTAAAAAATCATTAGATTATGAGTATTTTGAACAAATTTTGAAATAAAAAAATATTCTTTTAAAAAAGGTAAATCTTTTGACACCTCAAAAAGGTTCATCTCAGAACATTTTGAAAAATTAATGTTAACATATTTGCACTTCTATTTATAAGTTGTTCAATAGACAGCCATAAAAAATTATATTTCTTTCATTCATATGCTTCAACATAAGGTCAAGGGTCACTTCTAGTCCTCAGACTGGAAATTTTTCTTTAACTTAAACAATTCTCAATGAGTATTAAAAAAACTTGAACTAGTAATAGCTCAGATAATTGGACTTCAGAAATATAGGTAAAAAGATTAGAAATTTGGTACTATAAAAATTCTAAAGGCAAGAATTTTCAAATCATTAAATACTCTATCTTACTCATTTCCATAATTCTATAAAATATTTATCTAATAATTTCTTACAAATTTCTAATATTTAAAATTTTCTATGATTCAACAAAAATTAATAAAAACAATATAAAAGTTCTTGATAAATATGTTTTTACAGTAAAAAAATATATTTATCATTAAATCCACACAGTTTAAAGAGCGTATTTTTAATTTTCATTAAATTTAATATATCCTTAAATTATTCATTCAAGGAGTAGGGTTTATTTTCTAAGAGAGAATAAAATATAGTTCTACATGAGATGAATTAATAAACAACTTCTTAAATTTAAAAATTAACTATAATATTTACAGACACATCTACTTACCCGCCAACATTCCTTGAAATCTTCGAAGATATCAAACATCGAACTGATTATATTCAAGTTCTCAAATGCTTCCGTGCTCTATTCAAGGTAAGAAAGACATTTAAATTTTAAAGTTTATAACTAACAAAATATTTTTATGAACCACACATAAACTATACAAAAATCTAAAATTCAAATAGTTAAGATGATAATTAAATAATCTTATATGTCCAAGCACCTGGTCTTTATTATTACAGAACTTCGCTTAGTACTTTGTAAAACACTTTAGAAAGAAGTGCAGAAAGAAATAAAATTGATTCCTAACCCTTTTTTTGTCATGAATGTGTTACAAATTCTTAGGCATTTCAAGAGACTAATTTTTAAGGAAGGGAGCATTAAAATACACAGAGTAGCAAAGGGAGGAGCTTATTTAACAGTTGGAAGAAAATGTGGTATTTTCTCATTAGCCAGGTAGACATTTGAAAAAAAAAAAAACTAACTTAATTTTGAATCACCTGGTAATCAAAAAAAGGGTACTTATTCATTTTGCCAACGCAAGCAATAAAGTCACCAATAAAAAAAAAGCAGTAAATCCAATTAACTTCTTTAAAAAAAATTTTTATTTGAATGAATAAAGAATTTTAAAAATAAACAAACAAATACTTAAATAAAATACCTAAAGTTACGTCCTATGGCAAACAAAATAAGTGCCTAAGAAGTACCGAACTTTCCTCTAAATTTACGCATATTTTGGCAAACAAAATATGCTCTCCAAAAGTACCAAATTTTCTTACAGATAAATTAAGCCTCTATGCCAATGTCGCCCAAGCACCTAATTTAAAATACTTGTTTTAAATATAAATTGATGTCCCATGCTTATCTATACAATACATTTCAATATTATAATATATGTAATAGCAAAACAAATTCGAAATTTTAAATAAAAGCACACTTTCAATTTTGAACATTATTTGTTCTTCACAGAAATCGATACATTTAAGTCGCACTAAATAGGTATAAAGCGTAAGTAAGCAACATAATTAGAAATAAGATTTAACTAAAAAATTGAAATGATATACAAACGTACAGTAGAATCATAGCTTTTATTAAATGAAGCTTTTTCATAAAATTTAGATGCTTCATTACTTTGAAATAATTTATTAGTAGGTGAAACACTAATAGCTGAATCAGTGCTATTTGAGCTGTTAGAAAGCGAGTTACTACAGAAATTGGATGATGATTTTGTATCAGTAGAAGAGTTAACTATTATTTCAGTCTTCAAATCGTGCAACTGAACAAAAGCATTCAAAATATCTCCATCCGATAAGTTCATATAATATTTCAATTCGTTTTTTACCGCCATCATAACATCAACACAGCGATTAGCGACTTTTTTAGTTTTTTTTTTTTTTTTTAAATTAATTTGTTTGTTTTGTAAGCAATTGAGAATACAAAATAATAAACTTCTTACTCAATTTAATGTGAAAGGAAAAATTCCATCAACACTAACATTAATTTGAAAGAGAAAAAACTTAGCTTATTAAGTTCAGGTCGAAGCGCTTAATTACGAGCTTTATGAAATAGTTTTTAACATAATTCATATTTTTTCGTGCAAGAAACAAAAAAAGGTAGCTGAGTGCGTCTTGCCTTTGAATTTAAAGTTAACATTTGCTGCACTTCGTAGTTTGCAAATTTTATTTTATTGTACAATTATTTTATTGTATTTTTATTTTATTCATCCATATTTAATCATACGATTGGATTTATCTGAAGCATATTTTTTTTCATCATCTATCAATCATTACAATGTCAGAATTCGTCCAATCTGCAGTCAATTGGCAAATACCGACATTCCTTATTGTGACTGGGGCCAGTCGAGGACTTGGACAAACTTTAGCGATTGAATTCTGTAAGAAATTGTGCGATGGCAGTGATGCTTTCTTATTAGCTCGTGATAAATCTAAATTAACATTAACCCAGGATGCTATTTCATCTACTACTTCTGTTAAACCACAAATCGTTGCTATAGATCTGGCTCTTCCAGATAGTCCTAGTTATGAGCATCTTTTAACTAAATATGCTCAGAAAAGCTACAGCCAGGTTATATTAATTCATAACGCTGGAACATTAGGTGATGTGTCAAAAACAGCTGCAAATTGTACTTCTTCTTCAGAGATCCGAGATTATTTTGATCTGAATGTGCATTCTGCCATGTTCCTAACTTCAGCATTCCTCAAAGTCTTTGAAAAGTCTGAAAGAAAGCTAATTATCAACATATCCTCCTTAGCAGCTATTCAACCATTTCAAGGATGGAATTTATATTGCACAGGTAGGAATAAAGGCTCCCTATTAGCCTAGTAATACAATCTGCAGTGTGGTAAGATTTCCGTATTATGATGTGCGGCAAAATAATCACTATACCTTTGCACTTTCCAGGCAGTACTTGGAAGAAAAAAAAACATGGGGAAATTTCTGTATCGATATCTGTGGCAGAATAATCGCCAAGTCTTGACAACTTCCTTGCAACAACTCGTGGGAAATTTTAAAAAAAAAAAAAAAACATCATAGAAATGACCAGTTTGAAAAGTATAACTTGTAGCCACCTCCGAGCAAACATCTGCATGTTTTTTTTTTTTTTTTAAATAATAAATTGCAAGTTTAAATTCTATTTGGCATAACGGCGATTGTAGTTGGTGCGACAGATCACAATACTGAAATATCCCCCAAAAATATCATAGTAGGGAAACACCTCGAAGAGAATAACTCATAATCACCCCTAGGCAAACCTTTTTTTTTCTTCTTCTTTTTTTTTAAAATTGCAACTTTAATATCCATTTAGTGCTTTGGCGATTCTAGTAACAGATCACGATGCGGAAATATTCCTTGCAGCACTATATTAATAAATTCAAATGTTATTATTTCCAATATATAAATATTATTAACTGCAAAAAATTCAAAAGTTATAACTGTCACCAATGTTTGAAATGGCCCGCAAGTTTATTGTAAAAATTTATTAATAAATATGTATGTAACAATATTCAATAACATGCCTAAAAGAAATCAAATTAAAGTTTTTGTTGCATAATTTTAGGAATATTGTCACCTGTGTAAAAATGACTATTTTCTTTAGGAAAAGCTGCTAGAGAGATGTATTTCAGAGTTCTTGCAGAAGAAAACAAAAATTCAGTTGTAGTTCTGAACTATGCTCCTGGGCCATTAGTGACAGACATGTTACCACAAATTCTGCATCAGGCACTGCCAGAAATTAGACAACAATTTGAAAGTAAGGATATTCAATTCTATATTCTCAATGGAATACACTTTAATTTTATTTCATATTAGTTTGAAACAATGTAATGTTAGGCAGAGGTTTGCAGACTATATTTACTTTTCTTACAACGATTTACTGTATATATTATTGTATTTTTATTTTGTAATGTTTGCTTCTTTCCTAAAATTATGATTAAATACTTAGGTTTATTTGTCGAATTTTATTTTTATAATTTGACTTTCTTTAACTGTAAACTTTTTATTTTTTAGTTGGAATTTTTAGTTGCATCCATTGTTTTACTTAATATAAAGTGGTGTTTTTTCTTTATCTTAATTGTCATTTTTTTAATTCATTACTCTATATGATGAAAAGATTGTATATTTCTTTTAATTATACGTTTTGCTCCTGATTTAGCAAATAATGTTTCATTAAAAAATGTATTTCAGTATATTTATTAATTAAATTATTAAATTAATCTAATTAAATTAATAATAAGAATTAAAAGGGGAATTTTATCATTGCTTCAGTATTCATTGTAGATCATAAGAAGGACTGGGTGCTAGAAACTGAAAAAAAGCACTTTTTCTTTCTAAAAAGGGGCACCTATCACACAAAGAGGACATTGTTCACAAATATTTACATAGCTTTTAAGACATCAAAGTATTAAAAAAAAATTTGTTTTTTTAAGAGAATTAGTTTAAATTAAAAATAATTTTCAGTTAAATTTTAACATTCTATAAATTGGATTTAAAATGAGCTTAAGTCTGGTAATTTGAAAATGTAGCATGTCATAATAATAATTAAAATATCAGGATTTTATGAACAATAGCTGTGATAAAAAAAACAATGTGGATTTACAATGGAATCCACACGAATTAATCGCGTGGATTCCAACGAGAATTGAATGCATTAAATAATGATAACTCAAATTCAAATTTCGAATGTTGTAGCTACATTGTATTAAAAATATCAAATTAGAAAAAGCATGTGAAAAAGTTCAAAAAATTATAGCTTTTGAATACATTGTCATCAAATGACGTGAAATTACGATGGTATCATAATGAATGGAGCGCATTATATAGGGGTAACTCAAATTATTTCGAACAACATAATGAAATTGTATTAAAGGTACCACATTTAAAAAATTATATAAAGGGTCCAAAAAGAAAACTAAAGTGAACTGCTATAAACATTGAAAATGATTATAAGCAAAACATATTTCTTTATTATTGAATTTAGTTATTTTATTTTGATTTGAAAAGTGCAATAGGAGATTCTAATGCAATTTTTTTAAATACATGTTCTTTTCATAATTTATTCAATATATTGTTATTAGAAAAATTATATTTTTTAAAAAGAATTATTTCTATTTCATTTTTCATAATAAAAAAAAAAATTAAAAAAAAACAAAGTCTGGAATAAGTAATTCATTATTTATTGACTTTAAATATTAAAAGTTCCAAAAATATTTACTGCTTAAAAAAGGGTACTAACTCTTAGAATCTTCAATGGAACCTTAGGGTTCTGCAGAACACTAATTGGGAACCAATGATTTAGAGAATTTTTGTAGAATAGTCTATTTAAAAAGCATACTATACACAGAATAGTCATACCATAGGAGCATTACTGTAAACTTAAACAGGGTTGCCTGTCTACAGGGAGAACATGGAATTATACTTTTATTTTCGTCTTTTAAAAGTGGTGACCACTCAAAGCCCAATCTATGGGATATTTAAGGATGATATTTCAGCTATACTAAACGATAGTATTATTTGTTTTAAATATCCTTAGCTGTTACTTATTTCTTAAAGTTTTTCCAGCAATTAAAACTAGTATAGTTAGCCTAATATAGCTCACTCAAGAGTGTTTCCTCTTAATATATTGTGTATAATATGTACAGGGAATATTTTTTCCAGATTTAAGTGAACCCTGTTAAAACTGTAGTACTTAACTGTTTTAAAATTGCATTTAAAACTAGTAGATCTCTTACGTGCCATCATTTAAAGAAAATCTCTCATTGAATTTCATTATTTTTATTTATTTATTTTTTTTGCTATTTATTTTAATAAGATATTCGCATTTTCTTAACTCTTTGTAGGTGCTCAGAATCAAAATCAATTACTCACTTGTGATTATACAGTACAGAGGCTCTTGGGAATTCTGGAAAGATCAAGGTTTAAATCTGGAGACCATGTGGATGTCTTTGACCTTAACTATTAGTGATTGATGTGTAATTTTTAAATTATTTGCCTTTCATTTTTTCTTAAAATGATTCTTCATGAACAGGCAAAGATGATTTATACATTCCATAGTTGACCTATTAATTATGTAAATGAACCACTATAAAATGCTAATTTTTTTTATTTTAATTATTGATTTTCTTTTCTTTCCTTTTTTTTTACTGAAATAATTAATTTGATTGTGCCAATTAACCCTCTGAGTTGTTTCTATTTGAACTGTATTAAAGTGCTCTTTAATACAATTCAGATAGAAATAACTTTGTTTTATTTGAAAGTTTTTGAATTGTAAAACACTGTTTTATGTACATTAGGTTAAAAGCTTAAATTTTTTTTGTTGATATTATTATTTATAGTTGATACTAAAAATATACAGTAGGCTCCTGTACTCATAATATATCCTTTCTATTGTGTCAAAATGCAGACTAGGTAATGAAATAGGACAAAGTTCCATTTTCTTCCTTCCTCCTATGTAATTAAAAATATTTGTTACTCCTTTAAGATTATAAATGATTAATGCTAAAAAAAAACTCAATGTGTATCAATAAACTACAGGAATAATGTGTTAAATTGAGACTAGTCAAGAATCAAAATGGGCAGGAGACCGCTTTAGCATTCTTCAATTTTGCCTTCTCCACCCACCATGACAGCCAGTTTCTATATTCCTAATTTTTTATTGGACTGGATAGTATGGAAGCTGTGCAATCTGGAGCCTACATATCTATATAATAAATACTATATTCATTGTACAAAAGTTTCATACAAATACATTGTAATCTTTTAAAAATGAGGATTATATAATTTTTTCAAACATTTCCATTTATTTGTGATGAAAATTGTTTTTTAAATACCCTTAATATGACTAGAATATGTCAAAACTCTTATAACATTTATTGTAATAGACAGTATTTTAAATTAATTAGTAATATGAATTGAAACTCATTAAAATATTAAAACTCATAATATATTCCCAATCACGACTTATTGATGAACTGTACACCCTTTAACAAAAATCAAAGTTTTGAATTTAAAAACATTCAAAATTTGCACAATTATTTTTAAAAAAATTTTTTTTTTTTAAATTTAAACTGTTGTTAACAAACTAGACTTTCCCATGTAGCCAATTAGAGAGATGATGCTTAACAGCCATATTTTTGTTGTTGATCGAAAGAGCTTTTCGCCTAAAGCGTTATAAATGTTTTTAAAACTTGTATTCGTAACTCATGAAATTATTAAAATGATTCTGTCTTCAAATGAAGTGCCAAATGGATAAAAAAAGATGTTTTGAATGCTGTGTATCATGTAAATTTTTGTTAACTTACATATGTTAAGTTATACAATATACATATTTTTGTTAACTTACATATGTTAAGTTATACAATATACATATTTTTGTTAATTGCTGTTCACGCTATTCTTTATTCCATTATACTATAGCCATATTTTTAACGCTACTTTATATTTCCTCTAAAAGTCTGATAACTTACATTTGTTTTAAGACTAAAATTTTAACTTAAAATCCATAAAATGTATAAATCAAAATATCAGCATACTCTTGTTTCAATCATCACTAGTATATTTAAATTTTTAAAAAAAATTAAAAACTTGTTTTTCCCACATTATGTCTGAAGATCCAGTTTTGCATCTGTTCATATACCATCTTTGGTGCATAGGTGGTTCAGTAACGAATACAAAAATACCGCATCAAAACAAACTCAAAAGTACAATAACGAGAACTTAATAAAATAAATGTAACAAATTATGATTACTCTTTTCTGTTGAATATCTGCTCAACAACTTAAGCGGGAAAACGTTAGCTGCATATGCGCATAATGTTAATTCTAAATCAAATAAAAATAAGTTTATGCTGGTCAATTTGCAGATGAAATAACTCGTCCACAGTTGGATGACTGCCCACCGTCTTGATTAAAGGGCAGTGGTGCAACTCTAGTGTTTGAAGACTCCCTTGGAAGTTCAGACACATCAACTACTTGCACCATTATATGGTCACCAGGGTATGCTTTAAGGATTCTACCGAGACTTCATTCTAATGCTATTTTGTTTGTCTCCTTTTAAGTTGACACTCTTGTAGATTTCTCTACTTCTATTTTTCCCTATTCTGCAGATGATTCGGGTACTTTTCATTCCATTGACTCCAGAACTATTGTCTCAGACTCCGCCTGAAAGGGAGAGAATCAGGAGCAGCATGAGGTTCAGGAAAAGACAAAATAGGAGCACCCATCAAAACAACAGTTGCATATCATTGGCGTCCGAGCAGTTGCAAATCATTAGGGATAATTTGAACTACAGCTGTATTTAACTCTTCAAAACTTAATGTGTTGGATTTTGTCACCTTTGAGAGTAATCTTTTTCTGGGTTTGATGTTATCTTTCCATAAACCCCCAAAACGGGGTGAATCCTCTGAATATCCTTTTCAGAACCAACCCTTTGTACAGGATTTGACTTGGTACCTCTGAAACGGAGAATTGAAAATATTTTTGGAGTCTTTGAAATTTATGCCATTATCGCTCCAAATCATTTACTGTTTTGACCGTCTGGCAATAAATCTTCTTAAACATGTCAGTGATGCTGTTGGTTATGAGGTCAGACTCTGTCTTCAAATGTACTTCAGAAACAAATATTGCTATGCTTGACTTTATTGTAATTTTAGATCTTTACAAATTTGGCTTTGTCAAGGTAGGTCCAACAAAGTCAACACTTATGAAATGGTCTGAATATGATTATATCTTTGAGCAAGTTACTCATAATTTGATGGATATTTTGAGTTTTCATTCTCAAACATTTGTTAAGGATGCTTCTCCCTCTACCTTGGCTAGATGGTATTCAAAAATATTGTCATATCAAGTAAAATGTTGCCTGTGTCCCTGAATGCATAGCTTTCTTATGATAGTACTCAATGAATAGTTGGGTAAAATGATGCGATTGTAAAAAGGCAAAAGTTTTAGATGCTCTTGTGACTTTCGCAATCCAGAAAACTCGAGTCTGCCACGCACTTTTAAATTTTCATGATCAAGAAAAACATTTAACAACACAATTTTACTATTTTTAGGAAGAGCTTGATTTTTCGGTAAACATTTAATTTCCTTATTAAATTCAGATTTTTACACACGTTTAACTAGAACATCTGTAGCATTTTGTAGTTTTGTTGAACTTATGTTACCTATTTTTCTGTCATTTTGTTTCAATTTTCACTAAAGCTTATCCTCATGGCAGTGATTCTAATCGATTTGAAAATTAAAGCTGATATTATTTTAGTTTCGAGTGTTTCTCTTTGCTCAAAACATTTTAAATCTTGAGATTGTTTTAAGTTTTTAGGCCAATTAGATTCATCTTATTTCAACCAAGATGGTCCTTGACTCCACAAATCACTCTTCTTTAATTCAGGTGAAGACAGTCCACAAGAAATAAGATCTGCTGGATTCTCTTTATCAGGACAGTTTGATCATTCTGATAGATTAGAATTTTGTGTATTTCCTTTACCCTATTCCATACTAATAAAGAAGTCGGAACTGTACAAAATATCTTAGAAACTGGAAGCTCCAAACCTTTTGTCACTCAATCCAGCTGATAATCAAGCATGATAATATAAGCTGAAGTCTTTCATAGAGCAACCCTTCTTTATGTAAAGAGATACAACTGAATGTTGTCAATTTGTTGGCTTTTGAAAAATAGTACTCTGATATGTAATTTTATCACACCCCTCTTGAAAGATCGCTTTGGTACACTCTCATTTTAATCTAAACCCATATTTCTTGCATTAAACACTTGATACGAATTGTATAAGGACCAAGAAACCCTATGGGATCAAATAATCGACTAGCCACATGCAAAATATATCTTTTTCCTTCATTACTTTTCATCAAATGGTTTTCAATACTTTGAGTATTCAAATAAAAAATATCCTTTTTTGATTTCCACCATACTCCAGAAAACTTCGAAGGAACTTAAGTATTCAAAGAGTCTTCAAAGTCAAGTTCTTTTAACTCAGTAGCTAAATCGGGAGCGATAGTTTTTCGTTTTTTTTTTTTTTTTTCAAATGCATAGTAGCTTTTTTAAATATATTATAACTTGGAGTGCATACAATTAATGTTTCACTTACAGTATTTACACCAAAAAGACAATCATCAATATGTAAAAAGTCATGCAACATTTGATAAGTATGGAGAAAGATTTCTACATACCTCTTCAAATGATGTTTAATTGTCACATTCAGCAAGAAAGGATTAGACGTAACACAAAGCATTAAATTGAAATAATTCCAATACTCTCAAGGTCTTAGAATTTCTTCGCAAATGGTATTTTCTCCAACTACAACTCATTGCTTATATTTACTATTAAATCTTTTAATTCTATTGCTAACTATATTGAGACCGATCTAACTATTATAGATACGATTCAACTAAAATAACTCTATAAGAGTCAGCTAACTGTAGATTTCTTAATTGTTAAAAGCTTTTAAAAAGATTTATATCAGGTGTTGGTATATTAGAAGCCGGAATCTGATACATAACTAGTGCTTAGAAGTGTGAAGGTTCATCTCTATTTTCTAAAGAGATTTTAGCTGTTGTCTAAATTCTGTTCTGTTGTTTTTTTAATGTGGAAGATAGGAACAGAAAGTATTTCAGATCTTTTAATAGGAAGTTTTAATTTTTGAGAGACGGTAACGTTTATAAAACTCCTCATTGAACCACTGCCCAGCAAAAGTGTAACTTTTTACTTTTCTTCGTTTAAGTGTGATTAAACCAATGCAATGCATGTCTGAAACAAAACCCCAAGAGCTTCTGATGCCGAATTATTATTTTTTTTTATGATAGCAAGAACTGTTTAATACTTTGTTTTATTTGCCAAACTGAAAAGAAATCTATCTATTGCATTTGCCACAAAATCCTTACAAATATAAAAAAATCTTCCCTCTTTCAATCTTTTATCTGATGTTTTGATTGTAAACACAAAAAACAACACACTTTTTTTTAATAATTCTTTTTTAATATATTTATTTTTTTAATAATTCTTCCTTTTTTTTGATAATTATTTTTTTTTTCATAATTCTTCTCCTCATCTTCTGTAATTTTATTGCAAAACTATGGATTGTGATTCTCATTGCAGTAAATGCATCTTTTTTCTGAAATTAGTGTAAGAAATTCTATAGCTTTCCCCACGATTTTTGAAATGAATATGTAATATATCAAGTAGATTTCCACTATTGCCCCACTTTGCAATGGATTCTACTTCATCCTTATCTGCTGAGTTCAACAGAAAATCGTTCTCTCCAAAGAATTCGAAACTCCATGCTTTTTAAAAGATTTTACAACATTTCAATCTAAATTTGCCTCGCGTCTAGTATCAGTTGACATGTCTAGTATAATTATGGGAAGGGATTTATCATAGCATCTTTATTAGAGTGCAAATGTATCATATTCAGAGAGTGAAATTTTTTTATTTTGAGAAAATTTTTAAGGCTTAATATATATATATATATATATATATATTAATTTTAGAATTTTTTTATTTGTTTTCTTTCATTGATTAACTTATATACCGTATTTATTTATTTCTTAAATTATTCTTGTTTTCAGATAATAATATTTATCTATTGCATCAGTTATAAACATTAATCTATCGCACCTACTTTAATATTAGAGTTTTATCAGTTGCAAACTATTGATTGACTAATTTACAAAATTTGTTTGATTGTTATAAATTTAAATTCAAATAAGATTGTTGTAATAATTTTTTTATACATAGAGAGTGGATGCAGTTTTGCTCTGTTCATTCTCATTGTCTAAAAATAAAAAATAATTTTTTTCTTTAAATTTTTTAGTTATTTTTTTATAATATAGAATTTCTAAAAGATTTCACTGTGTCTAATACAATACCCTAAATCTTAATGGCAGCTAAGACAATAAAGAAATCAGATTCCGTGCAATCTCTGGCGTTCTTAACTCATATTATATCCAACGTAATTAAACGCCACCAACCGCCATCTGTCGGTATGAAAGGATATCACTTACTATTCAAACACTGCACTTCGATTTTTTAATAATTATTATAAATTATCTTTTAAAGAACAAATTAAATGGTCTGTAATCTAATACCTGAATCAGCTTAAGTACTTTTTCTTATAATTAAAATTTGCAAAAATTTTGCTAGAATTAAAAAAATTTTACGAAATTATATTTTAAAATTTTGCATTACATATTAAAAAGTCTTAATCAATAAATATATTTTAAAAT